CAGCGTTACTGATGAAGCTGAAGTTAACTTACGATTCCAGCTTCCAATTCGGGAAATGACTAAAGGGATATTACAACTAATTTTTCACTACCTTGCACGTTTTTAACCTGCTCTACCTCAAAAACTACAACACCTACAGTACACTCTTCAAATCTGGACTAGATTATTCTACACTAATAGAAGAATATTTAAAAACACGTTTGGGATTTGGGAAAGCTTATTCTGATTTGTGAAACTTCAACAAAGTTTGTTTTTCATCGTTTTTATGCAACGGGACCAAACTAGACCTGGTCCAGCTCAAAAACCACAACACCTAGACTCTTGGGCTGGACCAGATCTAATGTGGTCCAGTTGCATGAAAAACGATGAAAAACAAACTTTGTTGAAGTTTCACAAATCAAACAAAGCTTTCCCAAATCCCAAACGTGTTTTTAAATATTCTTCTATTAGTGTAGAATAATCTAATCCAGATTTGAAGAGTGTAGGTGTTGTAGTTTTTGAGCTWGAGCAGGTTAAACACGCGCAAGGTAGTGAAAAATTAGTTGTAATATTTATACCTTRAGTCATTTCCCGAATCGGAAGCTGGAATSGGAAGCTAACTTCAGCTTCGTGTACCATTTTACAAACGACAAAATGCTAAAAAATTAAGGATAATTGTTCAGGTCTGAAACGACATTTAAGGTTGAGAACTGTAAAGGAACACCTGGGCTAGACTAACATGGGATAAAACAGCCTTGTGATCACGTTTTGAAATTGACACCCTAGCTAACCGTGCTAACAGTGCGGCTAATTCTGGATGACGTTATCTTACAGTTAAACCCTATGCGAACTTCTATTTCGCATTATTTTATCTTTATTATACTTACATTAGCGCGTTTTGCTGCTTGCATAGCCATGGTGATGGTTTAATTTGTGTAAAAAAACACTGACAAACAACAAAAACGCAGTTTCCACCTCAAAATGGAAACTGTAGGGAGGAAGTGACGATTTAACTTCCGGTTAGGGCAAAAAAAAAAAACCGCAGTGCTGCCCACAGGTATAAAAGGTAGACAGCGTTTTTGTTGCTCGGGTGCGTGAAAGCGGCCGCCATGTTGGTGCGGTCGTACTACCTACTTGGTCAAACCAGAGTTATTTTGAGTGGAAGAAAATCTATATTTGTGGAAGATTGGTGGCACAAACAAATTTGGTCAATTACACGTTTATTGGATGACAACAGTAATGTCTTTAATCTGGAGGAATTTAATTGCAAGTTTGGCATCGATTGTTTAAAGAAAAATTATGAAAAAGTAGTACGAAATATCCCTGAAGTGCTCATTCAGTTAGCTAAAAATAATTTGTCAAATAGTTCAACTCCAAGACTACACAAAATTAAAATTGATTATGTGGACATTGTAGATAAAAAAATGCAATA